GTACACTCACTACTTTACATTGTAGCAAAGTGTCATTTCTTCAGTGTTGTCACATGAAAAGATATAATAAAATATTTACAAAAATGTGAGGGGTGTACTCACTTCTGTGAGATACTGTACATAAATTACACACACACATATATATATATATATTAATTAGTTTATTGATTTGTATAAAATTTAATTATTATAAAATTAAGACAGTGGGGAGTCTCTTAAAAACATTTCACCCATACGTTTTTGAATGTTTTTTCTTAATTTTAATTTCTACCATTTTTATTTCTCTTAAATTCTGACACCAGGCCATGTGGTTTGTTATTTGTGGTAAAGTATTAATCACTGTAAATGTGTCAGTTACCACACGTCCATTTAATATCACTAATCATCAAACTACAGCCGTGACTGAATCCACATTTAACTCTCCTCCATTTGTGTTCTGGCACCAGGAGCCTCATTAGTCTCATTCTCATACTGTCAACATAACAGAATTCATTTTATTTTGCTAATTCGAATTTGTGCAATGTTACATTGTAGGACTAGATTTGCATTTTTATTAAGTATATTCTATAATTTTCTACAGTCAATATCCTGTAGTGTTTACTTACTTTAACTCTCTCTTTCATGCCACAGACACTGACCACAAGTCAGGGAACAACTCAAAAACCCAGTCGACTTGTTTTCACTGACGTGGCTAATGCCATTAATGCATGATGACACTCACATGCTGCACAGGAAAAAAGGGACACAGAATTCTGGACAACTGGACACTGAGATTCAGGAATATTTACTTTAAAAAAAATTAAATGTAAAACATTGGGTTAACTGCTGCCATTGTAGTTAATAATTTCTTAAGCCAAAATTACAACCTGCAGCGTTTAAGGAATAGTTCACTCCAAAATGAAAATTTGCTGTAAATTTACTCATCCCCAAGCCATCCAAGATGTTTCCTCATTGGAACAGATGTGGAGAAATGTAGCATTCCATCACTTGCTCACCAATGGATCCTCTGCAGTGAATGGGTGCCGTCAGAATGAGAGTCCAAACAGCTGATAAAAACATCACAATAATCCACAAGTAATCCAAACTACTCCAGTACAAAAATAAATCCATCAAAAAGACCATCTCCTGTTGTCCTCTCACATCAAAATCCAACCACATATTTGTATAGAACTATTTTGGCTTGTAAACGGTGCTTGATCTGTGCATATTTCTCTCCTGATTCGGACCAGACAACATTTTCACTGCAGAAAGCAATATTATGGATAGACGACTCATAGTTTAACTTACTTCTGGATTATTCTGATGTTTTTATCAGCTGTTTGGACTCTCATTCTCACAGCACCCATTCACTGCAGTGGATCCAGATTCCTTTAAGATCATAAATTTTTTTCGACCACTTTGAATTTATGACAAAGAACATAAACTCAGAATCTGCAAGTGACAGGAATTATTGCAACAAATAAACATTGCTGAAAATATTTTTACAGTGTACAGTGACAAATATTACATTATACAGTTTAAGGACACTTGATTAAAAATCTGCAAAAAAAAAAAAGTTCTGCACTGCTACAGAAGTCAACTGGATCTGTCCAACGGTTATGAACACTCATGCAATATGGACTTTATTTTCATCTCTAGCCGTAAAAAGCCTCAACATGAGCAGAACGAATGGTTCATAAAATGTGCATAATGTGACAATTTACAAAACAATAATTTTAGAAACATTGAACGAGACTCGTGTTCCTTTTTTATTGGAATGACTGATAAAATAATGTTTATTTTTAAGAAGGGACTCCAAATGCAACTTTACCGCAACTTTCCCCCCCCCCCCCTTTTTTTGTTAGAATTCTTTATTAGTTTGGTTTATTATTTATTCATAGCTAAACATGTTCTGTAAACTGACGAGTTTACTAAAAGGATGTACATGAACTTTCCCTGAGAACAGAATTTTTAGCTTTAAAGTTACATTTGTTTAATTTAAATTGTGATGAAGTGTCAGAGATGACATCAGTCAGCCATTTCAGATACAGTATTATAAAGATCTTCCATGTGAAACACAAACGTTCTGTCACAGAGCCTGTGAATCTGCATAAATGATGAATGCTGACTGATTACGCAAGATTTACAATGAAAAAAGTGATTTTGTGTGTGTGTGTGCGTGTGTAGATGAAATAAGCAAAATGTAATAATTCTATGTGTACCACAAACCAGCGGCGGATAATTTTAAAGACGTTTTTAACTTTTATGACAATGAAGGACATAATAAAAATGATATTTAAACTATGACGTGCAGGTGTTATTGAAAACTAGGGAATCGTTCTTGTTAATGCAATATAGAAAATAACTGATGGATGATGTAAACATGTCTCAAACAGGAACTTTATTCATTGACATACGGCTGCATAAACAGCATTACTGGCCTTTGAAGAATATAAAAAAGAGGTAAGTTACCTGAGGCTGTATTTATGAGGCACGTTGTCAAATGTTTTAACAAGTAAATGACTAAACTGATGACATATACCATGAACAATGAATTGACTTCACACCAAAAACTTCCTGATCAGAAAAAGGTTCTTGATCAAAATTTTGTAAAGAATCATTATACCTGTTTAAGTGCATCTTCTGTATATGAGCTGTAATATTTAACATAACACAACTGTGTTGACAATAGGAGATGCTTTAAACATTAGTCATGTTGTAAACATCATTCCCATATCAGCGCAATAACACAATTCATAGCAATACAAATTAGACTGGATGATTTAAAAAATGCTAATTATGAAAATATAGTGCCAAAAAGTTACCTTGTTCAAGAGACTGGCCATTGACAATATATGCATTTAAAAACAAATGGCAAATCATCCATTATCTAGAATGAGCAAGCAAAATCTTTGAGGTTTCTGATGTTGAGGTACTGAGTTTCACCATCATCATGTGAATTATAATGATTGTGGTTTTACATCTTTGATCAGGTCATTATTCTTCTTTGGTGTAAATAGATGCAATTGAATCTATTCTTTCCACTGTAAACATTAAAATAAAAGAATAAAAAGAACATTACATAAGATCAATCGTTTACAAAGTTGCAACATTTGATTGAGGAGTAAATTTCAAGCTTTGGCAATACAATGTTTCCAGAATCCTGAGAAGATTAAATAAACCTATATAACCAAGGCATCATCCATACACTGTGATGATTACAGTTTCTACATTTTATTATCTTTGGATTTTTTAAAAATAATTTTTAATCCCAAGATCTTGAACATTAAATAAATGTCCTAAGCAAAACAAGTTCATGTTTTTTTGTTGTTATTTTAGAGTCCTGTTTTTATAAGAATAAGACATACTACAGTTTCTGGATGCCATATTGCGCACAATAAAATATGTTTTAAGTTCAAATTTGATTTCTAGTTGACTACAGGAATAGATCACCCAAAAGTGAAAATTTGCTGAAAATGTGCTCACCCTCAGGCTTTATTATGGATTATTGACCCTTATTTGAGCCAGGAGCAACGCCTGAAGTTAAAAACATCTTAATGATGGATTTGTTTCTTACAAACACAGATTTTTTACTTCACAAGATGTTAATTGATGGAGTTGTGTGGATTATTGTGATGTTTTTATCAGCTGTTTGGACTCTTATTCTGACGGCACCCATTCACTGCAGAGGATCCATTGGTGAGCAAGTGACGTAATTCTATATTTCTCCAAATCTGTTCTGATGAAGAATCTACATCTTGGATGGCCTGAGAATAAGTGCATTTTCAGCAAATTTCCATTTTCGAGTGAACTATTCCTTTAAGAATCCAAATAATAAACAAAAAGAGAAGATATTATTTCCATGGCAGTGTAACTTGCCGAAAGGTGTTCATCATAAAGGCTTGTGATGGTAGTACACAGATTTTAGGGTCACTTTTGAAAAATGTAGTCTGATTTTTCCTGAAATTTTGGGCGTGATTTGAGCACTGGCACATTTTCACTTTTTACAGTGTACATGGAGGCAGCTGAGATGGAGAATTACCCCCAACGTAGTAACAAAGTCATCACTGAGGTAGTTTTAGTTGCTCTCCTGTGATGGTAACGCAGCAGGTGGAGTCTGAATGGGCGGATCCTCTGTTGACTCCGCCCCTTGAACCGCAGGATGAGGCTGGGTGGAGAGGAACGAAAACACATGAGGAATGTGTGTGCATGTAGAGGTGCGTGCATGACCTGAGAATCATGACAGTTGGGACAGGAAACCAAGAAATGTAAGGAGCTCTACTGGGTTTCCCTTAAAAGCACTGAGTCATTTATCTCTGTGAACTGTATGAGTAACGGGGAGTTTTACACGGTTTCTGAACACATCGCCGGTTTCAGATCTGCAACTCTTGACAGTCACTGATTGACATGTTTATCAGGTTTAGTGTTTAACGGAATGAGACGATTCTCATGCAGGACTATTCATTTTGTTCATTATGGGTTGCAGGGCTGCAAACAACTAATCCACATGATCGATAATGAAAATAATCGACTCGACTAATCGGGTTTCATTATTCAATCGAGACGTTGCCACTTTTAATTAGTGGAAAACATTTCTATGAAAACTGTTGTATTCTTATAAAACGAGCCTTGTAATTGTAAGTGCTTAATTTTTATTAAAAAATGTACTGCTTTTATTCAGCAAGGATGCATTAAAGGGATAGTTCACCCAAAAATGAAAGGGTGAGTAAATGATGACAGAATTTTCATTTTTGGGTGAACTATCCCTTTAAGTTTACAAAAGATAAACCAAAAGATTTCTCTTTCAAATAAATGCTGTTTGTTTTTACTTTCTATTCATCAAAGAGTCCTGAAATTTTTTCATCTCAATTTTCACAAAAATATGAAGCAATATCACAAAATATCACAACTGGTTTATAATATTAACAAATCAGCATATTAGAATGATTTCTGAAGGATTATGTGAGACTGAAGACTGGAGTAATGATGCTGAAAATTCAGCTTTGAATCACAGGAATAAATTACATTTGAACATATATAGAAAAATTTTGTTAATAATTCAATCATAATTATATTTCACAATATTACTGTTTTTACTGGATTTTGATGAAATAATTGCAGCCTTTGTGAGCATTTCATTTTTTTAAAATCTCACTGACCCAAACTTTTGAAATATCAAAGAGACTATATATTTATTCATTTAAAAATATTTTGACTGTGGAAATAATAAAAGTGTATACTGGAAATGATATGGACTTATTAAATGTTACATGTTTTTGTACCTGCTGTTCTTCTTGACGAACGGTCTTCTGGGGCTATGAATTAAAGAGACAAAGAATGTGAGAGAAAAAATAAGACATTTTTACCTTCGAAAATTGCTAAGGCCCAGTACTCTCAACACAAAAACAGCAAAACAGGATATTTAACAAGAAAAAATAGAAACTTTTTTTTGGCAAAATATGCATTTAACAATAAACCCAGGAATATCCAATCAAGTAAATATGGTAATGTATTTAAGGGATATAAAATAGAAAAAAGTATTTTGTTTACTCTTTTGAAAGAGTAATGAACAATTAAGACATACTCAACTAGACCATTTACGAAAGCTAAGCTGCAGAAACTGTTAATTTATTATCATTTTCAGGTCATATATGTTTTAATATATTTAAATGTATTTTTATTCCATGTAAATTCTGTTATATTTGAGTTTATCAGCTGCTCATTTAACTATGCTGCAGAGTTTAAAGGAAAGGGTGTGTGATTCTCACCCATTTTCTTGGTCTACCTCGTGGTCTCCGTTCTCTAGGTGGCTCTACCTGCATCCAAAACAGATGAAGGAATGAGAGAGTGTTATGTATCTGAACAAGCATCAGTCAGCTCAAGTTTAAGTGCTCTCCAGTAAGTTCTCTCACTTTGGCTGTGACCCGCTGGCCTTTATTTTTACTGCCTCTTGGCCTTCCTCTCGGCCTCCTGGGAGCAGAAGCTTCAACAGGCTCCTGAGGGATTCAGTTCACTTGGTTTTATTCAATTTATTTCATTTTTCGAAAAGAACTCTATCTGTCTTCCTGTCTGTCTATCTATCGCCATCATTGCACCTCTCTGACCTGTTGTGGTTTGCGGGGTCGTCCTCTCCCGCGTTTGGGAGCTGGTGCCTCCTCCTCTGGGGCCGCTGTCTCCACCTGACCTGCTCCGGTCTCCTCCACGTCCATCCTGATCCCAAACCTTCTCAAGCATGCATGGACACACACAACCTGAACAAGATGAATGTGGAAAAGAAAGTGCTTTACGTCAGTGTAAAAGCCAACAATATGCCTTAAATCACAAAATATAATAGAGAGCTCTTTATTTTGCGATAATGACCAGCTGACTGCACATTATCCTCCTTATAACATGGCTTCATACCAAATAGATAAGAAACATTGATTTGTGCTCAAATAATTTTATCATGTGAGAGGAAAGAGCGAGGAGTGACACGAAAGACATGGAACCAGCACAGCTACTGCATGTAGGTCAATTATAGTTTCATCTCAATTATGCATACATATTTTACTCAATAATTTTTGCATATGAATGCATCTCAAATGAAAACACACAACTACTTACGAACTTACAAACAGTTAAGCTGATTAAAAATCACTGTGGTTTGAGGCGTGATGGGTTTAACGCAACACAAACCACACCTCAACTTGTGTTACGTCCTCATCAGTTTTATATTTTACCAAAAATCTCGTTCTCATAATTAACTTCTCATCTTCAACAGTCACTGCTGCTCTGACATCATCTCGTTCCTACAATGACACAGACATTAGTCATAATTTTAACAGTAACAACCTGGGGTGTGAGAATATTCCACAGAAATGAAGTCTCTCTCTCTTTCTCTCTCTCTCTCTATATATATATATCATGAGGCTATAAAACCAAAGAAAACATAAGAGTAATTTCTAGTGTCTAAAAGTGGCACAAGTATTCACTGCAGACTCTTCAGTCCTACTGCTGCATGTTCATATGATATGTAATTTACTGGCCGTGAATGTATATACACATGAATTTCATCAATGACAGCTTATTTAACCCCTGCTGGCAGAGAAGGATCTTCTAGGAGCCTGTTCAATGGCATCTATTCACATAAAACATAACTTTCCATGTTCCTCTCATGCATATATAACCAACCGCTCTACGCCATAAACTATGTCTCAGTGGCTGCTAATAAGTAGAACGAATAAGCTATATATGCGGCAATATTAATTATTGTACTGTTTAATTAGCATTTTCATATGCAATGCTATTTAAAAGTCAATGGAAGATACTTCATTCCCATTATAGTAGATTACAAAAAGCAGGGATTTTCCACATATATTTTGGGGTAATGAGGTACTTTTTGTACCAGTCAGCACCAACAAAATAAGTATCCAAACGTACCATAGTATTGCAACATTTTACAAAAAAGTACCAAACAGTATAGCTTTGTCATGTGGTTTATCAAGGTAACACTTTGGCATTGTTGCAAGTACCACAGAGTACTAGGTAAATACCATGCTACAAGAATTTTAGTACTATAGTGTATATCGAAGTACAATGATATCTAAAAGAAGTGAACACAAGAAAAAAAAAAAAAATGAAAAAAAAAAAAATAATATGAAATTAAAATTAAAATAAGGTAATGGCAAACAAGCTATTCAGTGAGTGTTTTTTAGTGGCTTTAAGTTGTTTTTCCATATGGTGGGCAATTATGACAGCCCACATTCTTCACATATTTTCAGACCTACAGAAAAATGTAGCTGGCGGTCGTGAACTACAGAGCGAAACGAGCATGCTTGTGGTGTCCTGAGGATGTAAACACAGCCCTAGCAACATTTAAACAGGGAGAAACACAATATTATTAAAGACACTATAAAAACAACCTCAACAGCCACAGAAGAGAAAAACGTCAGTGATTAACACAAAACCAGAGCTAAAATGACTAAAAGTAACTACAAGTACAATGGCATTACCATGTTTTTGTGGACAAGATACCATGGTAGTATAGTTTTGGACATACCACATGGTAAATTTAGTATTATTTTAAGTTCTATGTAAATACCATGGTATATCAATATGGTATGGTATATTTTGGTATACCATGATGGTATATATGAATGTACCATAAAATACCTTGTGATACTGTACACTTGTCTTGCAAAATGTACTGTAGCGGTACCATCGTACAGTGATAGTATCAGATATACTTTGTATATACCATAGTACTGAAACATTATGTACCATGGTATTTACATGGTAATACAAGGTACTTTCAAGAATAACAATTAATAGTATTTTGTATCAAGTATTAGTATTCTTTAGTATTTGTCTATTTAAAAAGTACCAAAAAGAATACTTGTCCAAATCGTATTTCTCAAACATGTAACATGCAATATATCAAAACTTCTTTTGCTTCACTGACATTAAATCTGCGATATCCAGATAGTCATATCATCAGATGCCTCTCTCACAGTACTAATAACAAGACAACTGTAGCATAAACTAAATTGTTTTGTAATAAAAACAATGTCGTAAGTTGTAAATACCTCGGGCAGACCGCTTTACTTGCGTTGTCCTCAGCACTGGAGAGCACGTTCACCTGGAGCAGCGGCTTCGCGTGTGCCGAGTACGTCAACATAACATGATTGACATCATTTCTGGCCCCGCCTCCTTTTACGCAAATCCTCACGTCAATCATTCTTCTCAGATCTGCAGAGCTGAAGCGCCACGCCTCATTTTGCTCGTCCTGTTGACTGGATGATGAAATCAGGTTGGGCCCGTTTGCGTTTTCTTACATTTACATTACATTTACGATTACATTTAGTCATTTAGCAGACGCTTTTATCCAAAGCGACTTACAAATGAGGACAATAAAAGCAGTAAAAACTAACAAAAGAGCAACAATATATAAGTGCAAATGACAAGTCTCGGTTAGCCCAAGGCAGTACATTGTAGCAAGGTGTATATATATTACACACACACACATATACACACAAACACACAAAGAAAACCAAGTAGATGGAATAGAAAAAATAGAAAGCTGGTGTTTGTTTGTTTTTTGTTGTTGTTTTTTTAAAATAAAAAAATAAAAAAAGAAGATAAATATAGATAACGTAGAATTAAAATAGAATAGAAAGTGTTAGAGTTAGAGGGTCAAATAAAGGTGGAACAGATGTGTTTTTAGGACTCAGCTGCTGGGAATGAGTTGGGCAGGTCATTCCACCAGGAGGGAACAGTTAATGAAAAAGTCCGTGAAAGTGATCCTCTTTGAGATGGCACAATAATACGCCGTTCATTTGCAGAACGCAAGCTTCTAGAGGGCACATAACTCTGAACTAATGAATTTAGGTAAATGGGTGCAGAGCCAGTGGTGGTTTTGTAGGCAAACATTAATGCCTTGAATTTAATGCGAGCAGCTACTGGTAGCCAGTGCAAATTGATGAACAGAGGTGTGACATGCGTTCTTTTCGGCTCATTAAAGATTAATCTTGCAGCAGCATTTTGGATTCTTGTCGCGTAGGCGCCTATTCTGATTGGTTTGCAAAGTCTGAGGCGTCGCCTACCAAGTACAAGAGTCATGTATGACACCCGGGACAAGACCACAGGAACCAGATGAGTACTCTGCACAATGTGACATTGCTGCAGCCTGAAATTGAACTGCTGGTTTTGTCTGGTCAGAGGAGAACTGGCCCCCCGACTGAGCCTGGTTTCTCCCAAGGTTTTTTCTCCATTCTGTCACCGATGGAGTTTTGGTTCCTTGCCGCTGTCACCTCTGGCTTGCTTAGTTGGGAACACTTCATTTCCAGTGATATCGTTGACTTGATTGCAAATGATTGCAAAGATACTATTAAACTGAACTGAGCTGGATGATGACATCACTGAATTCAATGATGAACTGTCTTTAACTGAAAAATGAGTGTTTACTATTGTCATTTTGCATTATTGACACACTATTTTCCATATACACTTATTTAAAAGGCAGGTATGGAAGGCGGATGGCGCCAAAAGTCTTTAACGGAACACGTGAAATTTGACCGTGTCAACACGCACAATTTGCCCGTGTTAACGTGGCAATTTAGAACGCGTTTCTTTTGTACGTATAGACATGCACATTTTGGCCGTGTTAAGGTGTCAGTTTTTGCCGCGTTCGTGTAAAGACGCTCAGTTTGACCGCATTAAGACAACAAAATTGAAAGTGTTTCTCAATGCACACATTTTGGCCGTGTTAAGGTGGCAATTTTGAACGTGTAATATTTTTTTACCCTCATATTTCTTTAGTTTATGGTCATTAATTAGTGTTGTAGCTAGTAAATTAATACATTTTGTTGTTTATTTTCTGTTGATAGTTTTGATAGTTATTACTCTTACTCCTGGTTCTGTGTACCTTCTGGTCATTTGAACAGAATTTAAGCAAGATTTTTCTCTTTTTTTCATGGGTAAAAAATTTGATTATGCTTTCCTATTTGTTTCGAATGTGTGAGCGGCCTTGAAACACCCATTTCATCCTCCATCTTCTGTACTAACACCATGTACACGACAACCCTTAAAGCTTATTTTCAATAGGAGAGATGCGGCAGGCGAGCAAGCTTACTCACAAGATTTCTGCAGCTTTGTTGTGTAGGCTGTTTCCAGATAACATGAATAAATAAAAATATATATTCAAGGCTTCGTCACAAAAATTAACCGAAACTCAGCGAATAGTTTCCCGTTTGTGCGTGTTGACGCGGTCAAATTTCACGCGTTCCGTTTAAAGACTTTTGGCCCCATCCGCCTTCCATAGGCAGGTGCTAAACAACCGACGTGTTAGCAATGAAGCAATCACATAAATGACGGGCAGTTTACTAGGATATTATTAGGTTATATCTGCTGCCTCAGTGACAAATATTAGTAAAAACGTCAAGGAATGAGTAATCAGGTTTTTTTTTTCTTATCCTAAATAAGCATTTCAAGAAAACAAAATTAGTCACTAGCAGAATAACGAGAAAGCTATAGCAAAAGTACCCAAAAGTACCATGGTATTACTATGAAGTAAAGTGATATGTGGCCAAGTATGGTGACCCATACTGGGAATTAGTGCTCTGCATTTATCCCATCCAAAGAGAGAGCACTGTACATTCACTCCCCTGCCGGTACGAGACTCAAACCCACAATCTTGGGTTACGAGTTCGACTCTAACCATTAGGCCACGACTTGTTGTTTTGATATATCGTGGTACTTAAAATCAAGTAGCCATACTTATATGGTATGTCCAAGAATACCATGGTTCATGTCCAAAAAACCATCATAGTACCATGATACTATGCCCACGAAATATATATATGCAAACTATGGTTCTATCATGTTTTACATGATGTAATATGGGACATATTAAAAGAATGTTGAAGAGTAAAAACAGAATTTTGAATACTTTATTAATAATAAAATATAAAAAATTCTATATAGCTCAGACTGATTTCAGGTTTAGTGTAAATATATGTGCACCTGTATATCTATATATTTCACAAATGCAAGCATACATATTATGTAAATTAAACCCCAATACAGAATGTTACAAAAAAGCATACATAATTTTATAAAACAGTATTTTTTACGTATATTACATTCCAACTACTTAATATATTTATAGCTTATAGAAGATTGAGCAGTTTGAAACGTATGCTAAAAGACGTGCTGTCACATGTTACAATGTACGTTTTTCTGTCGTCAGGTCATCTCCATGACCTTCTTGATCCAATCCACATAAAAAGACACACGGATGAAGATGTTTGGTTGGCCGGCGTGTCCGCAGCGGCGCATTGGTATGATGACTCCCTCTAGAACCCAACAGTCACTGTTCTGACAGGCCAGAGGGCCGCCATAGTCTCTCTGGAAGAGCGAGAAAGAAAAAAAAGAACGTTACAGCGCACCTGCACCCAGCACGTCTTACTCATTTCACAATCCCCACTTACATCTATTGCAAAAACAGAACTTAAAACTAGCGTAGCCGCACAAACGCATAGAAAGGAAATGTTTGAAGCTCTAAAAGCTTCATACACATTTTGCAAGCGTTCTGCAAGCTAAGCAATGTCTAGATCAGAGGTTATCTAGTTTTACTTCAGGAGCCAGATTTTGCACACCAACCAAAATTGTTTGTCATAAAGAACTCTAAAAAACTAAAATTAAAGGATTAAATCTAATTTTCTACCAAAAGATGGATGAACCCAACCAAAATAGTTTTTCATACAAAAATGCTTAAAATAAAAAAAAATTAATGAATTTTCCAACAAAAGACGGGTAAAATCAACCATAACTGTATATCACACAAAAATCCTAAAAATAAAAAAAATAAAAAAATACAATTTCCTACCAAAACAATGGATGAATACAACCAAAAGTATTTATTATACAAAAGCCTTTAAAATTAAAAGATTCAATCTAATTTTCTACCAAAAAAATGGATGAAACCAAACAAAATTGTTTTATCATTCAAAAATCCTTAAAATTAAAAGATGAGCATACTCCAACATACTCCAATGATCTTTTTACAATTAAAAAAAAATTTTTTTTTTACAGTGTATAAAAGAGTATACAGTATGGTTGAACACAAAGCCTCTGACATCCACAACAAATGATATGGGATTCCTTCTTTTTAAAAGCTTATTTATGTACTAACTTTGATTTATTATAAAGTTACTTGCATTTTATTATTTGAACTTAGTATTGCTTTTTGTGTCAGAACATAATAAACTCTTATTTTTCTTTCAAATTATCCATAGCAATACTTTTATTAGTGATTCATAACATATATGGTGTTAAAACGGACAGAAAACAAAAAAACAGTTCACACATCTACCTCACAGGCGCCAACTCCGGCCACGAATGGCATAGTGCACATCTCATTCTCACGGACACGGCCCTTGAAATATGGGTTACAGTCTTTATTGCTCAGTACAGGCATCTGAGCCACATTCAGTACAGTCTCATCCCCCTTTCCTGAGAGAGAGAAGCAGAGAGCATCAGTGAGGGGAAGCGAAAGAGGATGAAACGATGGATGGATGGAGAACAGAAAAAATGTGCAAAGAGGGAATGCTGAATGTTACTGCAGTTTTTTTAGCATTCAACTTTTACATCTAACCAGATGCTGCTTGACAAAAAAAATCATATCCAGTTATATATGATGGATGGTAATAATGTGTTATATTCAATGTGGAAATTTCCAGCTTCATACTAAGAGAAGTGCGACAAGATGTGTTTCCAACTTAGAAACCCGAATAACAAGTATCTTATGCTCACAGAGGCTGATCAAAAATACAGTAAAAACAGTTTTTTGTGTTTGAATATATTGTAAACAGTCATTTATTCCTGTGATCAAAGCTGAATTTTCAGCATCATTACTCCAGTCTTCAGTGTCACATGATCCTTTAGAAATCATAATAATATGCTGAGTTGCTGCTCAAGACACAAAATGTCTTTACTGTCACTTTTGATCAATTTAATGCATCCTTGAGGAATAAAAGCATTAATTTCTTTAAAAAAAGAAAATAATTCGGAACCGAAACCTTTGAACAATAATGTATAATAGGAGGTATTATAGATAAAACAGATTAGCGTGTCACCTTTTGTTTCTCCCCAACCAGCGATTTCACAGATGGTTCCCTCTGGAACGATGTAGCGCTCAGGAGGCAGACATATTTGAGACACGCGCTCATTAAACTGAGCAGGACTGCAGGAGAAGAGCCATATGTGTTTATTAGAGGGCCAATTTGGAGTCAAGACACTTTTAAAGAATGGCATCCAAAAAATGCTGCACACTCTAAAAAATAAAGGTTGTTTATTTGGCACTGATGGATCCAAGAAGAAACTTTAACACCCATGAAACCTTTCCGAGGTTCTTTATAGTGCAAAAAATTTTTTTTTATTTTTTTTTAAATGTTCTTCATACTATGAAAAAATGGTTAATTTAATATCTGTTGACTAAAAGGTTCTTTGTGGAACCAAAACTGGTTATTCTATGGCATCGAAAACCTCTTTCTTTATTTTTAAGAGTGTAGAACCAAAGCATGTTGTAAATTGCTTTGCTTGTGTGTGATATGAAGTACGTTTCTAGCTGAAGCATGACCAGGTGGGATTCAGAAGGACCACAGACGATCTTGGTGAGAGGAATGGTTTGTCTGTCCGGTTCACCTTCCTTTGGATCACGGAACAAGGTGCCCATCGTAGCACTGTATCCCGTGAGGTCCACATAACTGCATACAATCACCAACAAGCATGTGCATATTTAATAAAACACCCTTACTGTCCAACTCTGAACATTAATCACTGAAGAAGGTTGAGTTACCAGGATGAGAAGCATTGTTTAGTGCTGATCACCCATTTGGAATTGACCAGAGAACCTCCACAGAAGTGATTTCCTTTCCTGAGAAGACATGCAGTGGCCGCAAATATATTTGTCAACAAGAAACACTGTTTGCAAATCGATTTTACTTCCATAAAGTGACATAATTTGGACGGATTATAGTACGACTAACCGGTCTCGAAGGCTGACGGTCCAGGGAGAGTTTCCAGGTGTGCCGCCCACTATTCTTAACCTGCTCTTCACAGTCCGGTCGTCCCGCTTCCCACACTCGTTAAACACAACCTCCGCTTTTTATACACAGTGGAGGGCAAGTCAGAAGCACAGTCGTGCACATCAGAGTCTGTATTGTTCACTGTATGTTGTTTTTGACTTACTTGTTGGCCCGATGATTGGCACTTTCTCTCCAGCTATTATAACACATAAAAGTACAAAAATATAGTTTAATTAATTAATAATGATATTTGTTTTAAATATATTACCATTAATTGTTTATAATAAGTGTATTATAAATGATTTAATTAGTATTATTAAATAATATATTCTATAAGTCTATAGACATTGATGCTTCACCACACTGCTTGATGGCACAGTAGTCAAACTCAGTCTTGGGGTCAGTGGTGTAGCACCAGGGCCCGTGATGGTCTCCGTCAGGGTTTCTGCAGTAGTTGTCAGTCAGGTTGGCCTCTGGGTGTGTTTTGGGGTTTATCCTGCAAATAGATGTGCATAAATTCCCTTGCATGTATACTTTAGGTCCACTTTAAATGAGACAAACAAGAATGGGATTTTATTCTTACTTGGTTTTGTGAGGTGTATTGACGCTCCATTTCTGGCAGAGAATACCTTTACGTGTCTTGCGGACAACACCCCGATAGTTTCTGCCAATTTCATTATAGCAATCTAGTTTAAGGAGAAGAAAACCTGGTTATTTAAACCGCCATTTACAATTTCAGGGTCAGTAAGATTTTTAATGCTTTTGAAAGAAGTCTCTTTTGCTCACCAAGGCTGCATTTATTTGATCAAAAATACAGTAAAAATTGTAATATTGTGAAATGTTTTCTATGTGAATATATTGTAAAATGTAATTTATTCATGTGATGCAAAGCTGAATTTTCAGCATCATTACTCCAGTCTTCAGTGTCACATGATCCTTTGATTTGCTGCTCAAGAAACATTTCTGATTTTGCTGATTCATATTTTTGTGGAAATGGTAATTACATTTTCTTCAGTATTCCTTGATAAATTTCAAAGAAGAAGAAGAAAGAAGAAAGTTCAAAAGGACAGCATTTATTTGAAATGCTCTGTAACATTATAAATGTTATTATGAAAGTGAAAGTGACGTGACATGTGGCCAAGTATGGTGACCCATACTCGGAATTAGTGCTCTGCATTTATCCCATCCAAAGTGCACACACACAGCAGTGAACACACACACACCGTGAACACACACCCGGAGCAGTGGGCAGACATTTTTGCTGCGGCGCCTGGGGAGCAGTTGGGGGTTTGGTGCCTTGCTCAAGGGCACCTCAGTCGTGGTATTGAAGGTGGAAGAGAGCGCTGTACATTCACTCCCCCCACCTACAATCCCTGCCGGTACGAGACTCGAACCAGCGCTTTGAAAATTCTTTTCAAAAATACATAAACTATTGACCCCAAATTTCGAATGGTAGTGTATATACAATATGCATATTAAGTACACATGAAGTGTGCTTTGATTTTTCTTCTCACAAAGACAAAGCACAGTCAAAATGTCTTTAAAAATTAAACTGTAGTTGATGGTTTTAATCACTAGCGGGCGCAACTGTACCTTCAGCCTCAATGTCATCAGCACAGCGTTTGATCTGCAGGCAGAGAGCCGTCCTCATCTCAGAGAGAGACGTGAAACACCAGGGCGCCTCTGAACCGTCCGGGTTACGACAGTAGTTCTCCTCCAGACCCCTAAAGGTGGAAAGAGGAAAGACAGAGAAGGACAGAGAGTCACAATCAACCAATTTATACAGTTCTGATGAAGTTTGTTTCTTTATCAGAACAGATCTGGAGAAATGCAGCATTCCATCACTTGCTCACCAATGGATCCTCTGCAGTGAATGGGTGCCGTCAGAATGAGAGTCCAAACAGCTGATAAAAACATCACAATAATTCACACCACTCCAGTACATCAATTAACATCTTGTGAATAACTGGAGTTTGTAAGAAACAAATCCATCATTAAGGTGTTTAAACTGTTGCTTCTAGCCAAAATACGAGTCCATAATCTGTAATAACACTTCCAGCAAGTGATGCAATGCTACATTTCTCCAAATCTGTTCTGATGAAGAAACAAACTCTTCTACATCTTGGATGGCCTGAGTAAGTACAAATTTCCGGTTAATTTTAATTTCTGTGCAAACTATTCCTTTAACTCACTTGCACTCGTAGGTTTTGGGGAAAAAAGGGTGTTTGTGGGGTTTCTGGGCGTCCCAGCGCTGACAGGGGATTCCAGAGGTTGTTTCGTTGACTTTGCCCCTGTAATCTTCTCCACGACCCCGGAAACAATTAGTGGTGTAGCCGGAGCGAAAACGGCGCTTGGGAGACTCAGCTATAGGACGGAAAAGAAAGAAGGTGAGTTAAAGAGGAAGAAATTCATGTAGGAGAAACATTTGAGATACTAAAGACATCTCATTGATTGATCATTCTCATCACATGAAGAGATGCAACTAGTTGTAAATATGGCTGTATATTGGAAAGAATTTGCAGTAATTTGTTGTCCAATCATGTGTCAATGACAGAAAATAATAGATTTCAGCAATTCCATTTCAGCACCATTTATATTTTGAAACTCAACTGTGTGAATGTCATACAAGCTCCTGACGGATCAATCATTGCATATTCATAAAGAATAATATTGTCGTCTGTCTTGTGAACCCAATGCAATAAACTGTTATTAACGTTGTGCTCTCAAACAGAACACCATATGCGAGTTTCTGACTTTCAATTATATAGTTGTCTTTTTGAACAGCACTGACGCGATTGGAAATGACAGCAATGTCCCCAGGAAGATGAAGATCTGTGTCCTTTAAACAGAATGAATGAATAATAATCCAAACGATTTGCATGGAGATTGAAATTCATGCACTGCTAACAGAATGCAAACGACTGTTAAAGGTTATTAGTGTTGTGCGAACATTTTAAAGTTGACATTGCATCATAAATTGACTTAGAAGTTATTTTTGGAAGTTTTTCTTCAGTTTACTCTCTGCTGTGTGTCTCTATAATCTTTGAGTTTAAAATAATGTTTCAGAAATGCCTCTCTGGAATAGATGTACTGCAAAAATAACATTTCTTAATTTGATTTAGTTTAACTTGATGTGCTAAACAAAAACCATGAAACTAAAACTGAAATAAAAAGTAATAGCGATTCTATAAACAAAAAAAACTGCTCGAAATGACAAACACACACAACAAAAACTTTAACTAAAATTAAACCAGATTATATATATAACAATAAAAACTGATTTAAAAATATGAATATTATATTACTATAGTAATTATACTAAAATAACAGTGGTTATAAAATGCATGTTTTGTTCAATGCATAATGCATGAAGACCATTCAAAAATAGCTGTGTACTCAAAAAACAAACTTTTATGCAAGCAACATATGTACTGATAACATTTTATTATAGTATGGTTGTTTTACCAGTGCCTATTTAGTTTTAGAGGCTCATAAAAGCATAAAATTAATTAATTAGTTATTTTTTGACACCTTGTCAGCAGCAAGGCTATCTTCATGGCCAGAACAAAGTGAATAACAAAAGTCATACAATTACAAAAAACCTAAAACATCTAAAATACCCTGAAATGAAATATCATATCCTTGTTGCAAAGGAGCAGAAATACTCACGGCACTTGCGTATATCACAGCTCTCTCTCTCCATCGTCGGGTCAGTGGTGTAGCACCAGGGCACCGGAGACGCATCCGGGTTACGGCAATAATTATCATCCAAACTTTTATCAGGATACCTGGTTATTTTACATTATTATATCAGCATCCGCTAAAAATCACTGCAACACCACATGATTAAAATTCATTGCCATACTGCCTCTGCAGCATTTGAGCGCAGATACAGAAACGCTGATATATTGATATCCACTGCGCTTATATTCTGATTTCAGTGCTTTGGTACATGGTTATGTCATATTTACTTCTCTGGCTGGTAGATGTGTTGATGCGGATACTGTTGGTCCCATCTCTGACACTCTTTCCCGCTCACTGTGTGATCCACCTGACCTCTGTAGTCTTCTCCATTACAAGTGATGCACACCTCTAATGGAGAAACATACAAACATCTGCTCAGAACAAACCGCTTATGTCCACTGCAGTGCAAACATGTGTAACTGGCCGTCCTACCGTCTTTGCACTGGGGAATGTCGCAGCTCTCATATCTGCGTTCAGGGTCAGTGGTGTAACACCAGGGTCCGATGCGGTCGCCGTCCGGATTACGACAATAGTTGAGCTCCAGGCCATTAGTAGCAGACGGAGTCCATCTATTCCAAACAGTGGTGACATCTTTCTAATATCGCAGTTGTACATTCAGCCATTAAAAGGATCTTAGAGTAAAATAAATACACTACTGTTTATTCAACAAGGATGCATTAAATTGATCAAAAGTGACACTTTCAAATAAATGCTGTTTATCTGAACTTTCTATTCTTCAAAGGATCCTGAAAAAATGCATTAGATTCCACAAAAATATGAAGCAGCACAACTTGTTTTCAACATTGATAACAATAAGAAATGTTTCTTGAGCAGCAAATCAGCATATTAGAATGATTTCTGAAGGATCACGTGACACTGAAGACTGGAGTAATGATGCTGAAAATTCAGCTTTGATCACAGGAATAAATTACATTTTGAAATATATTACAATATAATAATATTTCACAATATTACTGACATTTCTGATCAAATCAGTACGGCCTGGGTGAGCATAAGAGACTTCCTTCAAAAACATCTTACCAATTCCAAACATTTAAATGGTATGTTGAATGCAATCACATCATGTTTAACAAAAACTGCTAATATATTTGCTTTTGTTAACCATCTACAGTGGATTTGGACAATATGAAACTGACCCTGTTTACGTTCTTAATACACAGGACTCCATACAAAGGAAATTATTTAGTAAGTATTGCTATGTTAAAGTTAAATAATAATTAAAAAACATACTTCACATACAGATATTTTACATAAAGTTTGTGCAACATACTATATGCCATGTCTGATCTCATACCTGTGATCATGAGGGAATTTGGACCACCACTGTTGACATGTTCGTCCACTCTTAGTCGTCGACACTTTCCCTCGATAGTCTTCTCCTTTACCCACAATGCACTTCCTTACATAGACTGAGTACAGGAGAACAATATGAACATGTGACTAACATGTGGCACTTATATCAAGTGGTGCTTAGGCGATATGGGTTTTTAATGGCTGATGACATTTTATAATCTTTCAAACTGTCTAACACTTTCAAAATCTACTGAAAAACATTTTGAGAATCAATTTGTCACCTTTCATCTCATAAAGGTCACAGTTCACGTTTCTCTTGACATCTGCATTGTCTCCGTCGCCCACCCAGGGCAGATGTTTACACACCAAAGATGGACGAAACTCATAATTAAAAGCTCTGGAAAGTTCAAAAATACATCAGAAATACATTTTCTATTCCCTTATGAAAAAGAAACATGCTTAAGTGTATTCAATGTGGACTTGTAGTGTGCTGTAAATATTAAAAAATAGATTTGCACTTGCAGATAATATTAATGAAATAAAAGGCCATTTAAGTGTGCTTAAAAGCAGACAATCTCATGACTGTTTCTTAAAGCACTTTTTAAAAAGTGACCTTCGTAATAATGCCAAATTAAAAGTGTTGCTTTAAAATTCATTTTAAATCATTATGTTTTAATAAACTTTGTCATGCTTTAAGGAAGTACACTTATTTTAATGAGTTGACTAATATTTTAAGCACATTTGATTGTAATTTTAACTGTAGTGTGTTATTTGATATTAGATTTAAAGTTAACATTTTAAATGTACAAAATTGCAAAAGACAATAGCAATAATGACAAAATTACATAGAAAGATGTATTAAAGTCAAAAAAGCTAAGTTGAACTACCGGTAATTGCATTTAAAATAAATGTTTATTTATTTTTATTTTAAGGTCCAATTCTTACTATTAACTAACTATCATTGACAATTTTTGCCTCAATAAATTAATTTGCAGCTTATTAATAGTTATTAAGGCAGTTAAGTTTAGGTATGGGTTAGGATTAAGGGATATAAAATATGCTCATGCAGAACAAGGCATTAATATGTGCTTAAGATGTACTAATAAACAACCAATCTCTCTCTCGGCTTGCATAATAGTAATAAACATTGCATAATAAACAGCCAATATGCAAGTAATATGCATGTTGGTTAATAGTGAGAATTGGTCCTTAAAATAAACTCTTACAAAATATAACAATAAACAATATATTTTAATTTAATCATAAATAACATGCATTTAAGTGTCTGAAAACATTAGATTTAGTTTGCACTTTACTATATTATTTAAAAGTATATAGTCCTGTATTTATATAGCCTATATTTCTGTAAGTATATATGCTAAAGTACACTTCTTACTCACATTTACAGAAAAAATAAGGAAATAAGTACTAAACAAATTAACTTATGCCTTTTTAATCATTCAACCACAAAGAGAATTACATTTTGGGTGTAAAGCTGATACATGCAGCGCATGCTGGGACAGGGAAGTGGGGATATGAGACCTGCATTCTGGACTCTCTGTGCAACGTTTAGCACAATCCTCCAAAGTGATTCCTGGAAATTCAGTCAGACGGTTGACGTTCCAGGATTTCAGGACCAGCTCTCTCCCCTCGGATCGCTGGAAATCATTCAGTGCGCTGCGAAATGCTGTGAAAACACACATCAGAAAGATGCACTAGTCATTTGACCACTTTGGATTTATTTAGTAATAAAGAAAATCAAGTTGAAACACCCAAAACCAAAAAGAAATGACAGGAGTTTTTTGTGACAGAAGTTATTAGATGAAAACAATGACATGAAAAATGTTTACAGTGCATGTTCAAAACATGCCACAGTACCATGTCTAAAAAAAAAAGTAACCTTTTTTTTGGCATGTTGTTTGCACTTTTTGTGCGGGTTTAAATGTTGTAACGTTCCTTGTGTGTGTGTGTGTGTGTGTGTGTGTGTGTGTGTGTGTGTGTGTGTGTGGGTGTGTGTGTG